TTGAGCATTTGAGCGGAAGTAGCCCAGCGATCTTCACGGTTCACAGTCGTTAGAAGGTTTTGGCACTGCGCGTACGTGCCCAAATGCCAGTTGTATGGCGTGAGTCGCAGCTTGTCATCGTATAGAGATCTGCCGCGTCCGCGCGAATTTACAAACGAGAGCGACATCGATCGCGTGCTGCTAAAAGCAGTCGATGGAACGAGGTTACTCAGGCTGTCAAGAATGTGGCTGCGTAGTCGCGGCACACGCATGTAGCTCGTGGCTACGAGAGCAGATAAGAGTTCTTGATGCTGATCGAGCGCGTTGAACTCCGTGTTGCTGCCACTGAAATCGATTGGACCATGCACCGTCTCAAAGGCGAATTGTAGTGTCGACTGGTGCAACTCTAAGAAGTGGTGGACAGAGTCACAGAGTCGCACATATCGGTCTTGTCCGCGCTTACTCTTTCTCTGGTGACTCGTCGGGTTTGAGGTCAACGATGCCTGGTTCCCACTCTTTGCTGATGCGGAGACGCTGCGTGATCGACGCGATTGGCGAGAGAGTCGTCTTGACAGCCGAGACTTCCCGTGTCTCGCTTCTTCTGTTGGTTTGTGGCTCTTGCAGCCTCCGTGACCAACGGCAACCAACAGAGCATCGAACTCTTGTCTCCTGATCACCAAGGCCAGCAGCGTCAATGCTGCCTGCTCTAGTAGGTGCTTCTTCTCGTTTGCAGCTGCGATGGCAACGTCTCTCGAGTGAGCCATCGTATGTCGTAGCGATGGTTCAGGAGCTGCGCCATCCGCTAGCACGTCCAGGATCTGCATGCAGCATTTCCACAGCTGTAGCATGGCCTTAGCAGCAGCTTCTAAAGGAATTGGCTTTGCCGAGCGCCTGCCAATGGCGCTACCAAAGCCATCTGTGTCATCCTCTGTAAGGATACTGACAAGCTTATCGAGTGTCTTGGTGGTGAAGTCTCCTCTCCAGCGAATCGAGGTTCTAGAGGTGTTTAGCGAGGGCTCCGGGTCCTTTTGGCTCGCGCGATACTCTCCTGTGGTCAGTGCGTTCGTCTGCTCCACGAGTGCGCGCAACTGCCGGAAGAAGGCGGGAGGCATGAGAACCGTGTGTGGGATGCTGTCGCCGTCGCTCTTGAGCGGGAAGACGCGCGCGCTCGTTGCACCTCGGAAGCCACTGCTATTGCGTGAAGACGACGAGGACGTAGAGCATGTTGACGAAGTGTTGGTTGTTGACGAAATGGAGCCGCGCTGGCGCTTCGAGGACGTGTCGTCGGCCGCCGCTTTGCTGTCTCGACGGTGAAAAGGCCGCAACAGTCGCGCCACCGCGCGCGAGACCCTACCGCGCGCCATTGCTATCGATTGCCAATTACGGCGATTCGTCGAGTCACCTGTGGCCCAGAGCGCAGATTCGGTACTGGGCAAGCGAGCAAGTGGTTAACCCCATCGCGGTTATGCCATGTGTAACTGTTGCAAAGACCATCACTCCTTCACTTCAACCGGCGACGCCTCGTCAAATGACTTGAATTCACTAAGGGTGCTATGGAAACGTCAAACTGCCAAAACGTCAAGCAGACGAGGCACAACCCTCGAAGCAACCTCGCACAAGGACAGCAAGATGATGGCGACTAAGAATAGCCCTTCGGCTAAGCGCACCCTATCGGTATTGCCTGCCATTCCTAGCAGTTCTTCTCCTCCAGTCACTTATCCTACCAGCGAGGTGGCGTCGCGGAAAACACGTGGCGCTATGATAGAGTCTTTTTCAGCATCTAGCATCGAGATTCGGGGATTTGGCACAAGCTGCTGCGTTGAGTCAGGGTAGACAAATGCTCACGTTGCCCGCAGCTCCTCTGCTTCCGCCTTCTACTTCCTCTCGAACCTCATCGCCGGTGAGGTTGACCGTCAGCCACTCGTCCATATTCCATAGAGCAGCATTGAGCGCTCATATCCGGGGACTGATCAACGAACACCTATTAAAAGTATCCGGCTCCGAGTGCCGTTGTATCCAGCGCCATATAATATTTTTGTAAGTTGTTATTATATTTAGAGGATGATTGTTGCCATCGTTGTGACGACGTGGCGCAAGCCAAAGCCCGAGATCGCAGGCTGCGATTCGCTGCACGTTTGTTCATTTTGCGGCTCAAACTTCGCAAAGTTGGGCTGATTTTAGAGACCAAACAGTAAAATGCCACTTTGAAGTTCAGGGTACCTAACATCTTAACGGATTCAGGTTGATGTGACCATCGCAATTCATTACCTACCGTCAACTAGACAGCATTCCATCATCACCGAATACATGTAAATTGATGTGACTCACATTGTGAGATCCTAGAGGCTCGGACCACAGTTTTTGGCTTCACTTTCCACCTTCTTCAGCTAATTCTTCAGTGCCACACTTCGAAGTGTAATAGCTACATGTATTACATCGAAGTGGCTAATACATTATTACGAACGCAACGATGTTCAGTAGCTGTGCGATATCAAGTGTTCCCGCTACAGAATGCACTTGATATCGGCCACTGGTTTTTGGTGAAGCAAATGGGTTCGGTCTCTTCCTTGCCGCTGCTAGCCGCGTGCCATCACGCCGTGTCACGTGATTCACGGCTTATAGATATTTAATGAGCGCGTGCAGCTTGATTTTATTCGCCTACGATCGCAGCTCAGGCACGCCGCCAGCTCTGAAACGGGCTACGCAACTTCTGCGACTCGGAGTGGCGTGTTCAGAGCTAACTGTTTCGCCGACTACGCACTGCAGCCCCAGAGACAGCCATTATCTTCGTCACGGTACGTTGCTACTGCCGACAATTTGAACTCTCCTGACTCTCACCTAACTTAACTGTCAAAGCTGAAGCAGCGATCGACTGGTCGCAAACTGAACCAACGGACAACGTCCAAATGACCAGCGCTGCAAGTAACGTCGCTCCTCTTCAGTGGTCCACGCATTTCATGATCGCTCTCGTTGTCGTAGAGCAAGTAATGCATCTGTGTCGGGACGCCGCAGATACTGTAAGCCCAAATTCAGGGTCGAGCGATTATGTAACGGGTAAATTATTTTAATAATAATAAAATACCTCAAATATCGCTTGTCATTTTAGAATGGAAGTGCCTACGTTCACCAATTATTTCGAGTATAAAAAGGGATATTGTGATACCGGTATTCGATTTCAGAAATTCAAATTTTGATATTTTTGAGCGGCTACAAAAGCGAGGTAGTAACTCCACCAAATAAGTTGGAGCCGCCACCGAGAATGCACACGAATGGTGGACAGCTATCACTCACAAAATAAAAGTGGAGTGTCCACACATTTAGGAAGCAGTAACACTTAGCACAAAGCTAATAAACACTCCATGTCAGTGCTTTTGTT